TGAGTTCAATTCCCAGCAACCACATGGTGGCTCACAACCATCTGTAGTGAGATCTGGTGCCCTCTTCTGGCCTGCAGGCATATATGCAGGCAGAACACTGTATACATAATAAATAAATAAATCTTTTTTTAAAAAAAGAAAGAAAATAATTTTATGGTAGGGTTGTCGCAGCATTAGGAAGGTTGAGAACCACTGATTTAAAGAAATAAAATGAGGCTATTTGTGTGGACACCAACACAATCTGCCTGGTATCCTTCAAAGAAGAGAGTAGGAGTCAGGACTGTGTGAGGACTCGGCTTGAAGACAGCCATCTGCAAGCCAAGACACCCTGTCTCAGAAAGGAGAGAGAGAGCGGGTGGGCAGGGCTGAGGATGTAGCTCAGCGGTATGAGTGCTTGCCTGGTGTCTGCGAGGCCCTAGGTTCAATACCCGGTTCCGGACAAAACCAAAACATCTCATCAAATTTCGACATCCTGCTGGGCAAACACCTGTGAGTCCAGCACTCAGGGAGCAGAGGCAAGAGTGCTCAGTGGCCTCACCCACAGGCCGCTGAGATGCCTGGGAGGGTGAAGGCATTGCCTCGGAGGTGGTACCACCTGAGTTGGATCCCTGGAACCCACATCAAGGTGTAAGACCAAACTGACTCCACAGAGTTGTCCTGTGACCCTACATGTTCACCATGTCAATATTCATTGATGGTATCTAACCATCTGTGTATCTCTCTCTCTCTCTCTCTCTCTCTCTCTCTCTCTCTCTCTCTCTCTGAAGGCTAGGGGCTAAAGAGATGGCTCCATAGTTAAAAAGCATTTTTTCCTTTTTCAGGGAAAAAAAAGCCATGTGAATCCAATTCCATAGGCTCTGATGCCTTCTGACATCTGTGGACACCAGGCATGCACATCCATACACGTAGACAGACACTTCATACACATAAAATAAAATCGGAAAACAAAGGAGAAGGTGGAGAGATGTCTCTGAGACGGTTCTGCAGTTAAGAGTGCTTCTTGTGCTGGGTGTGTGTGTGTGTGTGTGTGTGTGTGTGTGCACGCCTTTAATCCCAGCACTCGAAGACAGATCTCTGAGTTCGAGGCCAGCCTGGGCTACAGAGCAAGTTCCAGGACAGGCTCCCAAGCTACACAGAGAAACCCTCTCTCTCTCTCTCTCTCTCTCTCTCTCTCTCTCTCTCTCTCTCTCTCTCTCTCAAGATTTATTTATTTATTTATTATGTATACAGTGTTCTGCCAGCATGTATGGCTGCAGGCCAGAAGAGGGCGCCAGATCCCATTACGGATGGGT